CTACTTTACTATTTTTCTGCCTTTATATGATTTAAGCTGAGATCATTGATTTGAGATCTTTCTTTCTTTCTAATAGAAGCATTTAAAACCATAAATTTTCCTCTAAACATTGCTTTGGTTACACTTCATAAATTTTGGTATTTTAAGATTTCATTATTTAGTTAAAATTTTTTCTACTTTGCCTTAACATTTACTAACTCATGTAAATCTTTGACCCATAGGTTATTTAGAAATGTGTTGCTTAATTCCCCCCCCCCCCCATTGAATTATTAGATACAGTGGAAGGGAGGTGGGAGGGGGGCAGAGAGAGACAGACAGACAGACAGACATTGATGTGAGACACATCGATTGGTTGCCTTCCACATGACCCCAATCAGGGCCAGGGGTCGAACCTGTAACTGAAGTATATGCCCTTGACTGGGAATCAAACCCGTGACCCTTCAGTCCACAGGCCGACACTCTAACCACTAAGCCAAACTGGCCAGGGGTGTTGCTTAATTTCTAAATATTTAGGAATTTGAGTTTGGGTGAAAAAACAAGAATCAACAATATGCTTCTGTAAGAGAAACACTTAAATGTAAACATACAAATACATTTTTTTAAAAAGATATACTGTATACAACACTGCATACGACAGTTGGTGGGGTTATATTAATATTAGACAAAGTACAGTTCAAGAAAATTACTATTACCAGAGATAAGGAATGATATCTATTAATGAGTCAATTCATCCAAATTATTAACATTTAATATTATGGTCAGAAAGCATACTATGTATGATTTAATACTTTAGAATTTATTGAGGCTTGTTTTATAGCCTAGGATATATGGTCTGCCTTGGCAAATGTTCCATGTTTACTTAAAAAGAATGTGTATACTGCCGTTATTAAATATAGTGTTCTTTCTATAAGTGTCATTTAAGTTGATAATGTTCAAATCTTTCATACCTATTGATTTTTTGATGGTTTGTTTCTGAATGTTGTTGTATTTATTGCTGAGAGACAGATACTAAAATTTCTAAGTGTTACTGTGAATTTGTTAATTTATTCTTTTAAAAAATTCTGTCCATTTTTGTTTCATGTATTTTAAAGCTTTGTTATTATGTACATGCACATTTAGGATTATTATGTCTTGGTGAATTGGGTTATTATTATTAAATGTCCCATTTTAGTTCTTTAATAGTCTTTTTAAAGTCTACTTTGTCTATTAATACAGCTCCACCAATATTTTTCATACAGTATTTACATGCTATCTCTTCTTAATATTTTAATATATTTGTGTCTTTAAAGTGCTGCTCTTATAGACAGTATATAGTTGGGTCTTGCTTTTACATACAAACTGACAGTCTATGTCTTTTAATTAGAATCCATTTACATTGAATGTAATTATTGATATGGTTGGATTTAAATATGCCCCCTTGGTATTTGGTTACTAATCCAATCTGTTTTTATTTCCTCTGTTCTTCCTTTCTTGCCTTCCTTCTGGTGAATGGAATATTTTTAGCTGTATCTCTTTGTATTATTTAAAATGTAAAGGCTACTTACCCATACAGCTTCATTTTGCAAGTAATATCTTAGTTAAATAGATATTCAAATTAGGGTATGCCAAAAGAGAGTTAAGAGAGGATACGTAAACAGAGTGGGACACTCTGGTAGCAGAAACAAACTTTCTCCACCAGGATTCTGGTCAATCTTGCTCTTCTTTTCTTTCCTATCACAAAATGGAACCATGGCCTAGTAAACATTAACCATCATGATAGTCATAACATGAAGAACATTTTCTTCATCCCTGTAGTCAATATAATTGGATAGCTGCCTGTGTGCTGCCACACTCTTCTGTCACTTCCTTCTTCCATCCTGTAAGGATCTTAGGAGCCACCCTGGAAAATATGAAGTAACTTCCTTCCAATTAAATTTATATCCAACAAGTATCATTTTTGTGTAATCAGTCAAACAATTCACGAGCAGGTTGGTGCTGCCCTTTGAAGTTTGCAATTTACTTGAGAAGGCATTTATGTAATTTTATAATTTTATTATGTATTTATATTATATAAATTTATTTATTTATTTATTTATTTATTTATTTAAATTTTTTTTTTTAATCCTCACCCGAGGACATTTTTTTGATATTTTGTTCAGATAGAGTGGAAGGGAAAGAGAGAGAGAGAAACATCGACGTGAAAGGGACACATCGAGTGGTCGCCACCCACACGACCCAATCAGGGCCAGGGACAAACTGCAACCGAGGTACGTGCCCTTAGCGGGAACCGAACCCAGGTCTCTCCAGACCGCAGGCCAACGCTCTAACCGCTGAGCCAAACCGGCCAGGGCTATTATATAAATTTATATATTTATATAATAAAAAGATAAAGAGCAATGCAAGGCTGTGATTGTTACAGATAATTAATAAAATAGAAAAAGATGCTTATGTGGTTAATTAGAAAAACAGCTGCCTAAGCAGGACAAATTGCCACATATTTAGGTCCTGGCCACACTATACTCTCTGTGGGCTGGCATCATGCAAAGCACACACAACTCTGACCTTTTCCTGAATTGGTTAATATCCAGTCTGCTTATGACTTTTTGTCTCCAACTCTCTCTAGAGATTCTTGGTCATTTATAGTAAGAGAAACTCATATATTATTTTTCTCTCTTCCTCCTCTTTATATGGATAGATATAGATAAGTATTACATGATTATTTGAAGGATTGAAATTTCATTTTGATTTGGCTTTTCTGGGTGGAATACATTTATATCATTTTATACTTTTGAGCATGAATTGCCTCTCTAGGTGTAATCAGTTTCTCTTTTCAGCAGGTATTTTATGCGTAGTATTCAGTGCAGAAAGAGAGCTCTAAAAATAATTGTGTGAGTAGGGTTTTGTTAGTTGTACGTGGCACACTGGCAGGAGAAAAGAACAAAGACACATCAGAGGAAAGGTGGAGCATTTAACTTCATTTGTTTCCACCAAGGAGCTTGCATTTAGTGGAGAAGGAAAAACAAACAAGAAACAAGATCAGCACTAGCTATTGAATGTTTCATTTCTCATCACTCAGTCACATTTGAATAGAACCATTACAGTCTTTTTTTGGTGTGTATAACTAAGCCCCCCCTTTTTTGTTCCAAAAGGAAAATCTTGAATTTTATGTTCAAAAACACAATGAGATATTTTTGACATTCTGCAGTTCATTTTGGAATTTGTGGTCTTAAAACCCATTGACTTTCAATAAGGTGGTAAAGGGTGTACAATACATGTCATTTTTATGCCCAATAGCACCTTCGATAGTCTCTAATGTGTATTATGTACACACACCTCACAGCATCTGTTTCTACCTGACAGCTTACAGCATTAGGCTGAATGTTGTGATGAACAACAACTGAATGGGAGTGAAATACCCAGCAGTATTACAATGGATTCTTACTAGAAAAAGTAAGCTCTTTAGAGCTTCTTTTTGATACTTTTTCATAAACATTTTAAACTGATATATTTGCCCATACATAATGAAGATGACATACTGTTTAAATGTTTAAGTTATTCTTCCAGCAATGGGGATAGATTTGGCTAGTCAATTGATGAACTAGAATTAAAGCATGTGTTTTATACAGGGAAATCTATTTTGCAAATGTATTACTGACTATTCTTTTTTGTTTGTTTGTTTGTTAATCCTGAGGATACTTTTCCATTGGTTTTTAGAGAAAGGGGAAAGGAGGGAGGGAGAGAGAGAAACATCAGTGTGTCAATTGGTTGCCTCCCCCATGATCCTGACCAGGGCCAGGGATCAAACCTGCAATTCAGGTATGTGCCCTTGACCGGGAATCAAACCTGAGACCCTTTGGTCTGAGGGCCAGTGCTCTTAACTGCTGAACAAAACCAGCTAGGGCTACTGACTTTTCTTAAAAGTATTTGTATGCGGGGTTATTAGAGTTAAGAATTGCTGGGATAAGCCCTGGCCGGTAGCTCAGTGGTTAGAGCATCGGACTGAAGACCAGAGACTCCTGGGTTTGGTTTCTGCTAAGGGCATGTACCTCAGTTGCAGTTTGTCCCCGGCCCTGGTTGGGGTTGTGCGGGAGGCAACCAGTTCGTGTGTCTCTCTCACATCGATGTTTCCCTCTCTCTCTCTCCCTTCCTCTCTCCCTCCCACTTTGTCTGAAAATTAATGCAAAAAAAAAAAAAAAATCCTTGCGTGAGGATAAAAAAAAAGAAGAAGAATTGCTGGGATAATATCTTAATACAGTATCTCCTTATTTATTTGACTAATTTTATATTATTTAGCTCAGCCCAGGGAATGACACAATGCATTTGTTTTATTATTCTGCTACTGTACTTAGGGTTTTGGTCTAGTGGTCACAGAGTATCCCCTAGAAATAGGTTTTACTAGAATTCCAAAACAAAAATAATGAATCACTTAAGAAAACTTTTTAATACACAAAATCCATATTCTGGGCTTACATGCTTTGGCCGTGTGCTAAAAATTAAATAAGCAAACACCAAACAAGGCAAAGTTGGTCAAGGCCGTGACTTATAAAGAATACCAGCCAATGTTGCACACATAAATATTCTTTTCTGTTCTCTCAGCCTGAAAATACTTGAGGAAAGAAGCTATCATGCCCATCTTTCATGTAAAATTTAGTTTGGCCCTGGCCATTTTGGCTCAGCAGTTAGAGCGTCAGCCCACGGACCAATGAGTCGAGGGTTCAATTCCAGCCAGGGGCACGTATCTCGGTTGTGGTTAGTCCTGGGCCCTGGTTGGGATAGTGTAGGAGGCAACCAGTCTACGTGCCCCTCTCACGTCAATGTTTCTTTCTCTCTCCCTTTCTCTCCCTTCTACTCTATCTGAAGATAAATGGAAAAATATCCTCCGGTGAAGATTTTAAAAAAATTATTATTTAGTTTGCATGTCCTTTTGCAGGTTGTAAACCTTTTGGACCAGTTTTTGGCTATTAGATAAACAATACACTGTTTAATCCATATTGATTAATTAATTGTTTATACTTTTTTAGGTACTGATTATGATGAATGGGATTTGGAGAAATTCTGTTTCCTGTCTAAGGATAAGAAAGGTATCACACAGATACCAAAGTGGTTATCACCCAGTTGCCCCTCTGGGATCAAGGATTTTAACTGACCCAGCCAAAGTTTTTGAACACAACATGTGGTGAGTTATCTTCTTAGGTCTGATATTGTATATAATAAACATCACCTGTGGTATTATTTTCATTTAGTGCCAAGAAAGGATTTTTAATGCTGATCATTTAATTTATGTGGTTGAGGCTAACTGATCCTAACTTAGGAGTTGCCAGTTCTAATTTCTTTGCAAATGGAATAGGAAAAGTGAAACTTCCCAAATGCTTTCCTCAGCTTTGAGGTTCTTGCAGGCCCACCTTGCTTATCCCTGATCTTGATTTGCTAATGTATCACTCTGAGCCCCTTTTCTAGGTAGACTCCTCCTCCTGCCCCACAGGTCCTTCTTCTAAAGAAGTACTTCTTATCAGTCAGCAAATGTGTATTCAGTACTTGCTGCTAACTAAACACCCAGGAAAACACACTGATGTGACCCTAGTCCATGCTTTTAGGAAATCCACCCTCTATTTGGAAAGATAGAAGATATTTATAGGAAATTTGATAATTAGCAAATATAAGGCTGCAAATTTTAAGGTCTCGGCATGTTCTTATAAGCATACAGGTATACATCTTGTAAGAACAACTCAGTAATGCAAAATCACTTCTGTTTTGACATAGTCAGAAAGATTTTTTTTAATTGCAGCTCCACTGAAGTATAATTGACATATAAAGGAAGATTTCTCTAAGTGGGGAAACTGAGATTAGGATATTTATTACATCTCCAGTACCTACTCTAGTGTCTGAGACATAAATATTTGTCAGGAATAATGACCTGGATAGTTAAAGCTGGAGTAAGGGCATTCTAGGTGGGTAGAAAGTCATACAACTCAGAGATAAAGAAGTATAAGGCATAATCAGGAAACAATGAACAGGATAATTTGCCAAAATAAAGGTTCTTCTAGGACACTGGTGAGCAATTAGGTTGGAACGATACAAGCCAAGTGTAGGGGTGGGAACAAGATTGTGCGTGGTCCTGAATGCAGAGCAGAGGGGTAAGGCACAGAGCCACTGAAGAGAAATGACTTTTTACCTATTTTAATAAGTAAATGTATTTGGTAACAGCATATTGCACAGATCAGCAGGTAGAACCACAAGCAGGATGGGGCCAGTGAGAGAAAAATTTCAAAGGAAGAATAAATAGAACTTGATGCTTTTGTAGAATAAAGGAAAGGGAAGCATTAGATTGAAGTTTTGATCCTAGATGACTAATAGAAATAGGGAAATCAAGAGGTAAATTGATTTTTTTTTTTTGGAAGAAAATGGTGAATTTAGTTTTAGATATTTTGAATAGACTTTGTGAGCAGAAAATTCTGGAGGAAATGTCCTGAACACAGACTCTGCTGCTGGGAAGAGGGACAGGGGTCAGGGCTGAAGAAGAGTTGAGCATGATATCTGCAGACAAAATTCTTTTCTGACTACCTACGGGAACAGTGTGTCTAGGGCTAGGAAAGTGATTCGTGGGCTTTTTATGTTTTTTTTCTTTTTTATCCTCACCCGAGAACATTTTTCCATTTTTTGTTCAGGTAGAGTGGGAGGGAGAGAGAGAAAGAGAGAGAGAGAAACATCGACATGAAAGGGACATATCGAGTGGCTGCCACCCGCACAACCAACCAGGGCTGGGGACAAACTGCAACCGAGGTTCGTGCCCCTAGTGGGAACCCGGGTCTCTCTGGACAGCAGGCCGACACTGTAACCGCTGAGCCAAACCGGCCAGGGCGGCTTTTTATGTTTTTATTGCAACAGAATATCAATTATTTTTTTTAATCCTCACCCAGGGACATTTTTCAGTTTATCATCAGATAGAGTGGGAGGGAGGGGGACGGGGGGAGAGAGAGAGAGTGTGAAAGAAACATCTGTGTGAGAGAGACACATCAACTGGTTGCCTCCTGCACTAGCCCGACCAGGGCCAGGGACAAACGCAACCAAGGTACGTGCCCTTGATCAGAATCAAACCCGCAACTCATTGGTCCATGGGCCGATGCTCCCGCTGAGGCAAACTGGCCAGGGTCAGAATATCAATTTTTAAAGGAAGTAGATTGACCATTTATTATTTAGTCTTCTACTGTACAGTATGGTAGCCACTGGACACATGAGGTTATTGAGCACTTAAAACCTGCTTCCTCTGAATTGAGATATGCTGTAACGTTTTGAAGACTTAATACAAAAAAGGTAAAATATATCATTTATAATTTTTATATTATATGTTAAAATTATATCATTTGGGGTATATGGAATTAAATAAATATCTTTAAATTAATATCACTTTTTCTTTAATGTGCCTACTAAAATTTTTTTATTATATTTGTGGCTCACATTATACTTTTTTGGACAGTTGCTGAACTAAAACCATTTTTACTACCATCACCAGTATGGACAGTTATAGTAGACTGTGAGATCATTGCTAGGCAAATAAACCCCTAGAGGATCTTCTGGTCCGAGGCAAGTTCCTCGTTCACCAATTTTGTTTCTTCATTAGATTCCAGTGATTTAGCTGTCTGTATTCTTTTTCCATCTGCTACCACCAACACTTTTGTGCAAGATTCCTGCCTACCCGTTTAAATTCTATTTTGCCATAGGCCATCTGGGAAGCAAGGTCAGCTGGCTCAGTGGACTAGCTCTGGGCTGCTGCACAAGAATCCCTTGGAGAGTTATTATTTCACTAGGTCGAGAGGTATGGCCCAGAAATTTGTGATTTGAAAAAGCTCTTTTAGTAATTCTGTTGAGCAGCCAGGTTTAGGAATCTTTGATCCAGTCTAATGATTTTCAGACTTTTCTTTAGCAGCAGACTTTTTTTTTTCCAAGTGAAGTCTTCACTTGGAATCCCAATATTTAAAAAGGTAAGAGCAAACCTGCCCTGAGCGAAGTGGGCGTGGAGGCCTAGGGCACTGACAGCGTCACCGCCCCTTCCCTCTCCCACTCCTCAGCCCTCGCGCTAGCAGCCAGGAGGACCTTCAGGGTTCTGTTGATCAGTGTGAGAAATCGGGATTGAGTCTTGTCAGACATTCTTCTCCCTAGCAACACCCCACTAGGGGTTTTCCAGCCTGTGCCAGGACACCGCTAGTGACCTCTTTCCAAAGGCAGAGCTACACTGGGACGACGACGAAAGAGGAAAGTAGTTGCTTCACACCAGCTGAAAACCAGAAGGCTGGTTTACTTTCCCCTGCCTTCAAGTCCAGGTGCTGCCCACAAGTTCTTCCTTCCTTCCTGTGTTCTCCTTGATATTTCGGAGTAATGTTTCCTCCCTTGCTGAATTTTCATTTTTTTAAATTCTTTCTAGAAAAACATGTTAATTTTCTCTCAGAGATGTTAGTCAGAATTGTCTATAGTTTGTTTCTCTTTAGCATCTAGTTTAGTTAATAAGGACTATTTATTCTATATATGACCCTTTAAAAATTTTTTTGAGAAAAATAGACCCCTTTTTATTCAGTTTCTAATATCCTAAGAAAGGTTTGCCCTCCTTCTGAATGTTTGTATCACTAGTATTTACATCTGCCTATAGGCTTTAATTTTTTAATAACATAAAATTAATTATTTTAGAGTGAACAGTTCAGTGGTATTAATTACATGCACAGTTTCAGCAGCTTAAACAGTTATTTGGAAAAAGCACTCCTTATTCCATGCTTTTTAAATGTAAGTGTGTAGCACCTTTTCAGGGGAACCCTGAAATTTACAAGAAAGCAAACACTTGTATTATCATATGACTAAATCAGCCAGGCCAGTGGCTTTCAAGCTTTTTGGCATGATCCACAGTTAAAAATATGGCTTACTTCACGGACCAGTACATGTACACATAACATATGCACATATACGAAACAGGAAAAAGTTTCCTGTCCCATTTTTACATGTGAGACATGCACAAATAGACAAATAGTTTCCATTTAGTCTATTCTACTGTTTGTTTGTTTCTCTCTCTTTTGTTATTCCTCACCCAAGGATATTTTTCCATTGATTTTTAGAGAGAGAAAGATTGATATAAGGGAGACACATCTATTGGTTGCCTCCCGCACAACCCTTACTGGGACCAGGGATCAAACCTGCAACCCTTCAGTTTGCAGGCCGACACTCTAAGGGCCATTTCTTTCTCTTTTTAATTGCTGGTTAGACTAACTAAATTGATTTCTCAACTTACTAAGAGTTGTGACTTTTAGTTTAAAACATACTGAACTAAACCATTCTCTGTAGGTCCAAGGCAGGACTTGCATATCGTGAAATGACTTTCTATTATATAACCCATTTGAATAATAGATTGTTTCCAGAATCCCAACTGAGTTCAGATATCAACAGTTTTTCTTATTATATAGTATGCATTTTCTTTATATGATCATTGCATTTATCTCTGATTCTTCTCACCCTGTTTCATGCACAGTTCTTTAATGCAGATAACTATTTTCTTTGTCTAACTTCATTATGACATTTGTCATTAGAGACAGTCTAGTTTGTTTGTTTGTTTGTTTGTTTTCTTAATTGATTTTAGAGAAAGAGGATGGGAGAGGGGAGAGAGAAACATTGATGAGAGAGAGCATCAACTGGCCGCCTCCTGTATGCACCCCACTGGGGATTGGGCCCACAACCTGGGCATGTGCACTGACCAGGAATCAAACCGATGACCTCTTGGTGCTTGGGTTGATACTCAATCACTGAGCCACACCAGCTGGGTGAGATAGTCTAGTTTAGATGTTGAGAGCACAAACTGGCTAGTTGTCTAAACTTGGGAAGTTACTTAATCTATCTGTGCCTCAGTTTCCTCATCTTTAAAATGGGATAATAATAGTAATATCTACCCTCATAGGGTTGCTGTGAGGATTAAATTAGTGGATATCCAATATAAAGTATATACACATAGTAAATAAGCAACACATAGGAATAAGCTATCTATTCCTGGCCTGTGTGGCTCAGTTGGTTGGAGCATAGTCCTATACACTGAAGGGTCATGGGTTTGATTCCCAGTCAGGATATATACCCAGGTTGTGGGTTCTATCCTCAGTTGGCATGAGTACGGGAGGCAACCAACCGATCAATGTTTCTCTCTCACAA